AGGTCTAGTATTATAGTAGAGGTCTAGTATTATAGTAGAGGACTAGTTTTATAGTTGAGGTCTAGTAATATAGTAGAGGTCTAGTATTATTGTAGAGGTCTAGTATTATAATAGAGGTCTAGTATTATAGTTGAGGTCTAGTATTATAGTTAAGGTCTAGTATTATAGTAGAGGTCTAGTATTATACTATAGGTCTAGTATTATAGTAGAGGTCCAGTATTATAGTTGAGGTCCAGTATTATAGTAGAGGTCCAGTATTATAGTAGAGGTCTAGTTATATAGTAGTGGTCTAGTATTATAATAGAGGTCTAGTATTATAATAGAGGTCTAGTATTATAATAGAGGTCTAGTATTATAGTAGAGGTCTAGTATTATACTATAGGTCCAGTTATATAGTAGAGGTCTAGTATTATAATAGAGGTGTAGTATTATATTAGAGGTCTAGTTATATAGTAGAGGTCTAGTATTATACTATAGGTCTAGTATTATAGTAGAGGTCCAGTATTATAGTAGAGGTCCAGTATTATAGTAGAGGTCTAGTTATATAGTAGAGGTCTAGTATTATAATAGAGGTCTAGTATTATATTATAGGGGTTGAACGAATATATAATTTTTAAACTCGACATTAACATAATAAAACCCGAGTAGAACTCGAGTATTTGATGGCGTCATAGATCTCAAGGTACAAAAATAAATGAATAAATAAAACCGCAAAAAAAAGGTAATTATTTACAAAAAAAAGACTGTAGCGTGACAAGGGCCTGGTTAGTGACCCTTTCACTACTAATTATTTAAATATAACGGGTTCTCTCTTTTTCGAGTTAAATTACTGCCATGTGACGAGATAACTGTTATGATTGTTTAAATCAGTGACATGAGACGTTATTTTCCTTTGACCCATCAGAATAAATGCGGTCATTTATTGAACAGAATTAAAATTTAACATCAAAATATTGTACACTTGATTAGCTGATCTGGTTCTGATTAATAAAACTTGGCACGTTTTACTTAATAAGACAACAGGACATTTCTGAAGGCATCTAGACTACTGGCAAAATAGAAGAGTTTTAAAGGAAAAATTGAAGGAGTTTAAATGAAGAGAAAAGATGGATAAAAAGGGGGTGTCTGTTCGGACCGCAGAGTGGCACGCTCCCTTCAACACCAGCTCAAAACCTCCGGTACACTTGGCGCGTTAAGACTCGTTACCTTTGCAGAACTTAATCGGCTCCGGTGTCGGGCGCATTCCAACGCTACCTTCCATCGTCTCCGGTAAGAGCGGCTGGCCATGTCAGGAGTCGTGCCGCTTACTCCGTTCAACAAACTCGCTCATCTCCCAGGTGGATACACAGCAAGCTGTCAGACCGGCAGAGTTTCCACTCAGATGTGAGAGAATCCATCAAAGACTCAGAAGACTGAGTTCAAGACTAGACTTCATCAGAGACCCACTTGAAGATTCTGAAGAACTTGAAAACCCTAAAGACTCCAGGAAGTGTGGACTTTTAAAGAGTTCTCACTTCTGGTCACTCAGGACTTCCTGATTGGTTGAAACAACCAACAGGGGGTGGTTCTAGTGATGTCAGAGGGTCATTACAAGTCAAGAAAGTGCAAGAATGTTTAGGAACGTCCAGTACAGACAGAAGAAATGTTTTGAAGAAGTGAGAGCAAGCAGGTGCCAGTTGCTTCTTCTTTACCGTCTGCTAGGTTTAAAAACAATCCACTTTGTTCTAATAACTTCTTTCTGACTTTCGGCCGACATCACTACTTCTCATTCAGACAGAAGATCAAAATGCATAATTACTTTGTAAATAGACATTTAACTTGATTTCTAATTTAAATGAGGATTATAAAATCATTAATACTGTTTCACAGTTGATTTAAATGAGTGGTTCACTTCAACATTTAGAAATGGTATGAACTAATCACACTTTTGATTATCAAGATATTGTAAAATAGTGATGACAATATAAAAGAAGAGTGTTCTTTCAATTGATTACTTCAGGTTACAATTAGAAAGTCTCTGGATGAGATACTTTGTATTTCTGGATTCAAATCAATGAAATAACAGTTCCTGTCCCATGAAGGTCCTCAGAGGCAGGTTTTGGTCGGAGGCCGAGTTCACTACAAGACCAACAAAGCATTGGGAGCGTATATTATGCTCCTACCATTTATCATACTGCAAATAAGTCACAGGAAAAACTAAACCATTAGTTCTATGTCGTATAAGCTTCGCCCTTTAAGGCCTTCGCTTTAGTGGGTTTATCCCGTTATGCAGAGCATAAGCACTGAAAAAATTAGTCCACGCCCACCTGCTGTGTGGGCCCCACCCGGTCCGTATAAATTACGTTAAGAGCGGGAAATCGGCTCCCATTTTTTCTTCAGCGAGCTAATATAGCACTGTCAGAAGAACAAAGAAGATAAATTGTGTAAATGACCAACCTTTGTGAAGAATGCTTGGCCCGGCAGTCGACCTCCGGTCGTCCGGTGAGTTCTCCTCCCCGAGGAGAAGATGACAGCAGTCTTATTCCAAGGTAAGCGTCGGGGAACATTTCTCAGTGACAGGTCACTACACGCTGGACAACGCCATCTTGTGTTTTTCCTCTTATCGCCGACCCTCGGGGCGAACCGGATGGTTCCTCCGGGGCAAGGCGTGCTCAGCTGCAGCCCCCGCTGCTCATTCCCTCCTGGGGAGCGTAGTGTAGGTGGAGGGGGGCTGAGTGAATGCTCACCCCATCCCACCTCGTTTCGCATCGGCGATCACACCGCTCCCGGCCGACAGCGCCCTCAGGGGTTGCCCGGCGGAACCCAGGAGGAGGCTGACATGAAGGGACCCCCCTTTTTCTACGTCCCTCGCCTTTTCCCGCCAGTTCGGATGATCGGCGGAAAGGTTGTTTTTCACCGGGCTCCACTGTGGCTCACCGTCTTGATCCATACGGCCTCACGTTCCAACAGGACGTTCGACGGGCGAGGCCGCAGACGGTTCTTTCCTGGTAGATTGGAGGAGTCGGTCCCCAGTCCGCTCCCATCACCAGAGTTGAGGGATTCACCGAGCGGGGCTATTCCTCGGTAACCCCCCCCCCGGAGCCAAGCCTCGCGGAAGCTTCCGGAGCGAAGCTGCCCAGGTCGGAGCAGCGTCCCGTCCCTCCGGAGGAACACGAACCAGACGGCGACCACGCCCTCCAATCGAGCCCACCGACGTGTTTTCAGGCAGCCGCAGTTAGCAACAACGTGCGCTGCTAGCATATAGCATGTCCAAGGGACTGAAGGCCGCAGACCTGCCTTGGAGACAAAGAACTCCCTCTGTAAGGCAGCTGACGCCAGCTCAACATGTGTGCCTCTCCCACGGTTTGCCTGTCGAGGACTACAGCGCGGATGACGATGATCCATCGACCCACCTGGCTTCGTTACTCCCCTCGCTGCCGGAGAATCTGCACGAGACCTGATGAAGCCCATCGCGGACGCGCTGTTCAGAGCAGCTTCAAACCATGCTGGCGAAGTGAAACAGTCGGAGGAGGTGCCAGAGGCTGTGCGCCACCTCATCAAGCCGCGCGGCCCACCCCGTCCCGCTGGAGGGACCGTCGCGAGCAAGCTTCGACTTTTCCACGGCCGCGGCTCTCGCTGAGTTCCACCACCAGCCCCGCCCGTCAGAATCCAGCCCTCTTCACTCCGGCAGCCTGCAGCTCAGCGTTTCCCCAGAGTTCGCCTGCAAGACAGCGCTCTGGGCAAACAATCGCAGAGCTCATGAGAGAGAAGTTTCTCAAAATGACGGTCTCTGGAGGGTGTGTGTAAAAGTGACACGAAAGTTGAAATAAATCATCAATAATGATCAAAGTGTCTGTTTTTTAGCCAGTCTGTAAGCTCGGATGAGCTCACAGCGGCCGCACACATAAGAGCCGGTGTCCTTAATAAGGGTTTTTAAACTCACCGCCGCTCCAAGACATTACTAGTCGCTTACAGGGCACGATGGTATGTGAAAATAACTCGTTATAATCCCGGGCTGCACGATTTTCACCCAAGCGATGTCAACTCGCACTCGTGGGATGAAACAGCCCCACACACGAGCCGGTGTCCTTAAATAAAGGTTTTTAAACTCACCGTCGCTCTAAGACATGACGAGTCGATCACAGAACAGCCTCCACACATGAGCCGGTGTCCTTAATTAAAGGTTTTTTAACTCACCGTCGCTCTAGACATGACGAGTCGATCACGGCACAACGGTAAGCGAAAATAACTCGTTACCAACTAGAACTGCACGATCCTCACTCAAGCGGTGTCAACTCGCACTCGTGGGATGGAACAGCCTCCACATGAGCCGGTGTCCTTAAATAGGGTTTTAACTCACCGCCGCTCTAGACATGACGAGTCGATCACTAAAATGAACAGCCTCCATCCAACGGCGCTGCGTTGATGCTGGCGCACA